ACACTGTCCCAAGTCTAGAGGTATACGAACTTCAGCACAGCAACTCGAGGAATGCTCCTTGTACCAAATCGTTTCGAGCTGAGAGCTGATTCCATGGCTTAGGCTCAAGACGTATGCCAACTTTCCAGAAGCCCCTCAAGAGGAGGCTTCTCTCAGCAATAGGTATGTGGGAGGGACCCCGAGTTGCTGCCTCAAGTGGAATATACAACCAGAAGCCCTAACTTGAAAGGAGGCCGGATTTCCTTGCAGTGGCTTGAATACAGGCTGGTCTTTCATCTCACAGCACGAAGGGGTGTCTGAAGCCCCTGTGTAGACCTTAGAGAAAGCTCTAGGTCCCTGCCCCATTTTGACGGAATGCCTCACATCCCATTGACACCTCGAGAGGCACGCGGAGTTCACTGCTTCAAAAGGTGATGATGCCTGACTCGTCTTGAATATTGATAGGAATCCCAAAATCACTGTGGCTACTGGAAAGGGTCCTTGGGTGCCCTGCCTCACCTCGAGAAGCATACCTTTTGACCTGCCAAGCCTCGAAGAGATTCCTGAGGTGTCCCTCGTTACTAGACAGGAGTCCTGACGGCACTGAATAAACACGTGTTTTCAAGGGCCATCCCCGCCGTAACTCGAGAAGTTACCCCAGGTCCCCCGCGCAACATGAGAGAAACCATGAGACTTCCCCCTAGATGCGAGATGAGTCCTGATTCCCTGCAGTGCATGCAGAGTATTCCCGTGATCCCCATAGAACAAGTCAGGAGCTTCGAATTGCTTAATGGATCTCGAGACAGTCCCCAAGAACACTGTCACAAGTCTAGACGGACCCTGAGGTCACCCCAGCAACGCAAAGCAGCTCCATGTGCCCCAAATCAACCCGAGATGTGGCCCGATTCCCCTGCATTGACTCCAGAGCCATCCCCAGTTCCCCATTAAACAAGACAACTGGCAAGACTTCCTTCATGCAACTCCAGAGATGCCCAGCAAACACTCTCCCAAGACTAGAGGAACACCAACTTCAGCACAGCAACTCGAGGAATGCTCCGTGTACCACAAATCGTCTCGAGATGAGAGCTGAATCCCTGGCTTAGGCTCAAGACGTATGCCAACTTTCCAGAAGCACCTCAAGAGGAGGATTCTCTCAGCAATAGGTATGTTGGAGGGACACCGAGTTTGCTGCCTCAAGTGGAATATACAGCGAGAAGCCCTAACTTGAAAGGAGGACGGATTTTCTTGCTGTGGCTTGAATACAGGCTCGTCTTTCATCTCACAGAATGAAGGGATGTCTGAATCCCCTGTGGAGTCCTTAGAGAAAGCTATAGGTCCCTACCTCATTTTGACGGAATGCCTCACTTCCCGTTGTCACCTCCAGAGGCACGCGGAGTTCACTGCTTCAAAAGGTGACGATGCCTGACTCCTCTAAAATATTGATAGGAATCCAAAATCCCTGTGGCTATTGGAATCGTTCCTTGGGTGCCCTGCCTCAAGTGGAGAAGCGTCCCTTGTGCCCTGCCAAGCCTCAATGAGATTCCTGAGCTGTCTCTCGTTACTGGACAGGAGTTCTGACGTCACTGAATAAACACGAGTTTTGAAGGCCATCCCCGCCGTAACCCGAGTACATACCCCAGGTCCCCGCCGCAAGTCGAGAAAAACCATGAGACTTTCCCCTAGAGGCGAGATGAGGCCCGATTCTCCTGCAGTGCATGCAGAGCAGTTCCGTGATCCCCATCAAACAAGTCAGAAGCTTCGACTTGCTTAATGGATCTCGAGACAGTCCCCAAGAACACTGTCACATGTCTAGACGGATCCTGAGGTCACCCCATCAAGGCAAAGCAGCACCATGTGCCCCAAATCAACTCGAGATAATGCCCGATTCCCCTGCATTGACTCCAGAGCTATCCCACCTTCCACATTAAACACGACCAGTGGCTTGACTTCCTTCAGGCAACTCCAGAGACGCCCTGAGAACACTGTCCCAAGTCTAGAGGAACACCATCTTCAGCACAGCAACTCGAGGAATGCTCCGTGTACCCAAAATCGTCTCGAGATGAGAGGTGATTCCCTGGCTTAGGCTCAAGACGTATGCCAACTTTCCAGAAGCACCTCAAGGGGAGCCTTCTCTCAGCAATAGGTATGTTGGAGGGACCCCCAGTTTGCTGCCTCAAAAGGAATATACAGCGAGAAGCCCTAACTTGAAAGGAGGCCGGATTTCCTTGCAGTGTCTTGAATACAGGCTCGTCGTTCATCTCACAACCGGAAGGAATGTCTGAATCCTCTGTGGAGACCTTAGAGAAAGCACTAGGTCCCTGCCTCATTTTGACGGAATGCCTCACATCCCGTTGACACTTCGAGAGGCACGCGGAGTTCACTGCTTCAAAAGGTGATGATGCCTCACTCGTCTTGAATATTGATAGGAATCCCAAAATCACTGTGGCTACTGGAAAGGGTCCTTGGGTGCCCTGCCTCACCTCGAGAAGCATACCTTTTGACCTGCCAAGCCTCGAAGAGATTCCTGAGGTGTCCCTCGTTACTAGACAGGAGTCCTGACGGCACTGAATAAACACATGTTTTGAAGGGCCATCCCCGCCGTAACTCGAGAAGATACCCCAGGTCCCCCGCGCAACTTGAGAGAAACCATGAGACTTCCCCCTAGATGCGAGATGAGCCCTGATTCCCTGCAGTGCATGCAGAGTATTCCCGTGATCCCCATCAAACAAGTCAGGAGCTTCGACTTGCTTAATGGATCTCGAGACAGTCCCCAAGAACTCTGTCACAAGTCTAGACGGACCCTGAGGTCACCCCAGCAACGCAAAGCAGCTCCATGTGCCCCAAATCAACCCGAGATGTGGCCCGATTCCCCTGCATTGACTCCAGAGCCATCCCCAGTTCCCCATTAAACAAGACAACTGGCTAGACTTCCTTCAGGCAACTCCAGAGATGCCCCGCAAACACTCTCCCAAGACTAGAGGAACACCAACTTCAGCACAGCAACTCGAGGAATGCTCCGTGTACCACAAATCGTCTCGAGATGAGAGCTGAATCCCTGGCTTAGGCTCAAGACGTATGCCAACTTTCCAGAAGCACCTCAAGAGGAGGATTCTCTCAGCAATAGGTATATTGGAGGGACACCGAGTTTGCTGCCTCAAGTCGAATATACAGCGAGAAGCCCTAACTTGAAAGGAGGACGGATTTTCTTGCTGTGGCTTGAATACAGGCTCGTCGTTCATCTCACAACCGGAAGGAATGTCTGAATCCTCTGTGGAGACCTTAGAGAAAGCGCTAGGTCCCTGCCTCATTTTGAAGGAATGTCTCACATCCCGTTGACACCTCGAGAGGCAAACAGAGTTCACTGCTTCAAAATGTGATGATGCCTGACCCCTCTTGAACATTGATAGGAATCCCAAAATCACTTTAGCTACAGGACAGGGTTCTTGGGTGCCCTGCCTCACCTCGAGAAGCATCCCTTTGCCTGCCAAGCCTCGAAGAGATGCCTGAGGTGTCTCTCGTTACTAGACAGGAGTCCTGACCTCACTGGATAAACACGTGTTTTGAAGGGCCATCCCCGCAGTAACTCGAGAACATACCCCAGGTCCCGCCGCAACTCGAGAAAAACCATGAAACTTCCCCTAGATGCGATATGAAGCCTGATTCCCTGCAGTCCATGCAGAGCATTCCCATGATCCACATCAAGCAAGTCAGGAGCTTCGACTTGCTTAATCGAACTCGAGAAAGTCCCTAGGAACACTGTCACAAATCTAGACAGAACCTGAGGTCACCCCAGCAATGTAAAGCAGCTCCAAGTACCCCACATCAACCCGCGATGAGGCCCGATTCCCCTGCATTGACTCCAGAGCCATCCCCCGTACCACATTAAACACCACAAGTGGTTTGACTTCCTTCAGGCAACTCCAGAGATGCCCTGAGAACACTGTCCCAAGTCTAGAGGAACACGAACTTCAGCACAGCAACTCGAAGAATGCTCCGTGTACCCCAAATCGTCTCGAGATGAGAGCTGAATCCCTGGCTTAGGCTCAAGACGTATGCCAACTTTCCAGTAGCACCTCAAGAGGAGGCTTCTCTCAGCAGTAGGTATGTGGGAGGGACCCCGAGTTTGCTGCCTCAAGTGGAATATACACGAGAAGCCCTAACTTGAAAGGAGGACGGATTTCCTTGCAGTGGCTTGAATACAGGCTCGTCTTTCATCTCACAGCATGAAGGGATGTCTGAAGCCCCTGTGGAGACCTTAGAGAAAGCTCTAGGTCCCTGCCTCATTTTGAGGGAATGCCTCACATCCCGTTGTCACCTCGAGAGGCAAGCGGAGTTCAGTGCTTCAAAAGGTGACGATGCCTGACTCCTCTTGAATATTGATAGGAATCCCAAAATCCATGTGGCTATTGGAAAGGTTCCTTGGGTGCCCTGCCTCACCTCGAGAAGCGTCCCTTGGGCACTGCCAAGCCTCGAAGAGATTCCTGAGCTGCCCCTCGTTACTGGACAGGAGTCCTGACGTCACTGAATAAACACGAGTTTTGAAGGCCATCGCCGTCGTAACCCGAGTACATACCCAAGGTCCCCGCCGCAAGTCGAGAAAAACCATGAGACTTTCCCCTATAGGCGAGATGAGGCCCGATTCTCCTGCAGTGCATGCAGAGCAATTCCGTGATCCCCATCAAACAAGTCAGGACCTTCGACTTGCTTAATGGATCTGGAGACAGTCCACAAGAATACTGTCACATGTCTAGACGGATCCTGAGGTCACCCCATCAACGCAAAGCAGCACAATGTGCCCCAAATCAACTCGGGATGATGGCAGATTCCCCTGCATTGACCCTAGAGACATCCCCCGTTCCCCATTAAACACGACCAGTGGCTTGACTTACTTCAGGCAACTCCAGAGATGCCCGGAGAACACTGTCCCAAGTCTAGAGGAACACCAACTTCAGCACAGCAACTCGAGGATTGTGCCGTGTACCCCAAATCGTCTCGAGATGAGAGCTGATTCCCTGGCTTAGGTTCAAGACGTATGCCAATTTTCCAGAAGCACCTCAAGCGGAGGATTCTCTCAGCAATAGGTATGTTGGAGGGACCTCCACTTTGCTGCCTCAAGTGGAATATACAGCGAGAAGCCCTAACTTGAAAGGAGGCCGGATTTCCTTGCAGTGTCTTGAATACAGGCTCGTCTTTCATCTCACAACAGGAAGGGATGTCTGAATCCCCTTTGGAGACCTTAGAGAAAGCCCTAGGTCTCTGCCTCATTTTGACGGAATGTCTCACATCCCGTTGACACCTCGAGAAGCACACGGAGTTCACTGCTTCAAAATGTGACGATGCCTGACTCCTCCTGAACATTGATAGGAATCCCAAAATCACTGTAGCTACAGGACAGGGTTCTTTGGTGCCCTGCCTCACCTCGAGAAGCATCCCTTTTGCCCTACCAAGCCTCGAAGAGATTCCTGAGGTGTCTCTCGTTACTAGACAGGAGTCCTGACGTCACTGAATAAACACGTTTTTTGAAGGGCCATCCCCGCCGTAACTCGAGAACATACCCCAGTTCACGCCGCAACTCGATTAAAACCATGAGATTTCCCCTAGAGGCGAGATGAGGCCTGATTCACTGCAGTCGATGAAGAGTATTCACGTGATTCCCATCAAGCAAGTCAGGAGCTTAGACTTGCTTAATTGAACTCGAGAAAGTCCCCAGGAACACTGTCACAAGTCTAGACAGACCCTGAGGTCACCTCAGCAATGCAAAGCAGCTGCAAGTACCCCACATCAACTCGAGATGAGGCCCGATTCCCATGCATTGACTCCAGAGCCATCCTCAGTTCCCCATTAAACAAGACCACTGGCTTGTCTTCCTTCAGACAACTCCAGAGATGCCCCGAGAACACTGTCCCAAGACTAGAGGAACACCAACTTCAGCACAGCAACTCGAGGAATGCCCCGTGTACCACAAATCATCTCGAGATGAGAGCTGATTCCCTGGCTTAGGCTCAAGACGTATGCCAACTTTCCAGAAGCACCTCAAGAGGAGGCTTCTGTCAGCAATAGGTATGTTCGTGGGACCCCGAGTTTGCTGCCTAAAGTGGAATATACAGCGAGAAGCCCTAACTTGAATGGAGGCCGGATTTCCTTGCAGTGTCTTGTATACAGGCTCGTCTTTCATCTCACAACAGGAAGGGATGTCTGAATCCCCTGTGAAGACATTTGAGAAAGCCCTATGTCCCTGCCTCATTGTGACGGAATGCCTCACATCCCGTTGACACCACGAGAGGCACGCGGAGTTCACTGCTTCAAAAGGTGACGATGCCTGACTCCTCTTGAATATTGATAGGAATCCCAAAATCCCTGTGGCTATTGAAAAGGTTCCTTGGGTGCCCTGCCTCATCTCGAGAAGCGTCCCTTGTGCTACAGCAAGCCTCGAAGATATTCCTGAGCTGTCCCTCGTTACTGGACAGGATTCCTGACGTCACTGAATAAACACGTGTTTTGAAGGGCCATCGCCGCCTTAACTCGAGTACATACCCAGGTCCCCGCTGCAACTCGAGAAAAACCATGAGACTTCCGCCTAGAAGCAAGATGAGGCCCGATTCTCCTGCAGTGCATGCAGAGCAATTCCGTGATCCCCATCAAACAAGTCAGGAGCTTCGACTTGCTTAATGGATCTAGAGACATTCCCCAAGAACACTGTCACAGGTCTAGACGGACCCTGAGGTATCCCCAGCAACGCAAAGCAGCTCCATGTGCCCCAAATCAACTTGAGATGAGGTCCGATTCCCCTGCATTGACTCCAGAGCCATCTGCCGTTCCGCATTAAACACCACCAGTGGCTTGAACTCCTTCAGACAACTCCAGAGATGCCCCGAGAACACTGTCCCAAGTCTAGAGGAACACCTACTTTAGCACAGCAACTCGAGGAATGCTCCATGTACCCCAAATCGTTTCGAGGTGAGAGCTGATTCCATGGCTTAGGCTCAAGACCTATGCCAACTTTCCAGAAGCACCTCAAGAGGAGGCTTCTCTCAGCAATAGGTATGTGGAAGGGAACCCGAGTTTCCTGCCTCAAATGGAATATACAGCGAGAAGCACTAACTAGAATGGAGGCCGGTTTCCTAGCAGTGTCTTGAATACAGGCTCATCTTTCATCTCACAGCAGGAAGAGATGTCTGAATCCCCTGTGGAGACCTTAGAGAAAGCCCTAGGTCCCTGCCTCATTTTGACGGAATGCCTCACATCCCGTTGACACCTCGAGAGTCACGCGGAGTTCACTGCTTCAAAAGCTGACGATGCCTGACTCCTCTTGAATATTGATAGGAATCACAAAATCCCTGTGGCTATTTTAAAGTTCCTTGGGTGCCCTGCCTCACCTCGAGAAGCGTCCCTTGTGCCTGCCAAGCCTCGAAGAGATTCCTGAGGTGTCTCTCGTTACTAGACAGGAGTCCTGACGTCACTGAATAAACACGTGTTTTGAAGGGCCATCCCCGCCGTAACTCGAGAACATACCCCAGTTCGCGCCGCAACTCGCGTAAAACCAAGAGACTTCCCCTAGAGGCGAGATGAGGCCTGATTCCCTGCAGTCCATGAAGAGCATTCCCGTGATCCCTATCAAGCAAGTCAGGAGCTTCGACTTGCTTAATTGAACTCGAGAAAGTCCCCAGGGACACTGTCACAAGTCTAGACAGACCCTGAGGTCACCCCAGCAATGCAAAGCAGCTGCAAGTACCCCACATCAACTCGAGATGAGGCCCAATTCCCATGCATTGACTCCAGAGCCATCCCCAGTTCCACATTAAACAAGACCACTGGCTTGTCTTCCTTCAGACAACTCCAGAGATGCCCGAGAACACTGTCCCAAGACTAGAGGAACACCAACTTCAGCACAGCAACTCAAGGAATGCACCGTGTACCACAAATCGTCTCGAGATGAGAGCTGATTCCCTGGCTTAGGCTCAAGACGTATGCCAACTTTCCAGAAGCACCTCAAGAGGAGGCTTCTCTCAGCAATAGGTATGTTCGTGGGACCCCGAGTTTGCTGCCTAAAGTGGAATATACAGCGAGAAGCCCTAACTTGAATGGAGGCTGGATTTCCTTGCAGTGTCTTGTATACAGGCTCGTCTTTCATCTCACAACAGGAAGGGATGTCTGAATCCCCTGTGAAGACCTTTGAGAAAGCCCTAGGTCCCTGCCTCATTGTGAAGGAATGCCTCACATCCCGTTGACACCACGAGAGGCACGCGGAGTTCACTGCTTCAAAAGGTGACGATGCCTGACTCCTCTTGAATATTGATAGGAATCCCAAAATCCCTGTGGCTATTGGAAAGGTTCCTTGGGTGCCCTGCCTCATCTCGAGAAGCGTCCCTTGTGCCCCGGCAAGCCTCGAAGATATTCCTGAGCTGTCCCTCGTTACTGGACAGGAGTCCTGACGTCACTGAATAAACACGTGTTTTGAAGGGCCATCGCCGCCGTAACTCGAGTATATACCCCAGGTCCCCGCCGCAACTCGAGAAAAACCATGAGACTTCCGCCTAGAGGCGAGATGAGGCCCGATTCTCCTGCAGTGCATGCAGAGCAATTCCGTGATCCCCATCAAACAAGTCAGGAGCTTCGACTTGCTTAATGGATCTCGAGATATTCCCCAAGAACACTGTCACATGTCTAGACAGACCCTGAGGTATCCCCAGCAACGCAAAGCAGCTCCATGTGCCCCAAATCAACTTGAGATGAGGTCCGATTCCCCTGAATTGACTCCAGAGCCATCTGCCCTTCCGCATTAAACACCACCAGTGGCTTGACCTCCTTCAGACAACTCCAGAGATGCCCCGAGAACCCTGTCCCAAGTCTAGAGGAACACCTACTTTAGCACAGCAACTCGAGGAATGCTTCCTGTGTGCCAAATCTTCTCGAGTTGAGAGCTGATTCCCTGGCTTAGGCTCAAGACGTATGCCAACTTTCCAGAAGCAACTCAAAAGGAGGCTTCTCTCAGCAATAGGTATGTGGGAGGGAACCCGAGTTTGCTGCCTCAAATGGAATATACAGCGAGAAGCACTAACTAGAATGGAGGCCGGTTTCCTAGCAGTGTCTTGAATACAGGCACGTCTTTCATCTCACAGCAGGAAGAGATGTCTGAATCCCCTGTGGAGACCTTAGAGAAAGCCCTAGGTCCCTGCCTCATTTTGACGGAATGCCTCACATCCCGTTGACACCTCGAGAGTCACGCGGAGTTCATTGCTTCAAAAGCTGACGATGCCTGACTCCTCCTGAACATTGATAGGAATCCCAAAATCACTGTAGCTACAGGACAGGGTTCTTGGGTGCCCTGCCTCACCTCGAGAAGCATCCCTTTTGCCCTGCCAAGCCTCGAAGAGATTCCTGAGCTGTCCCTCGTTACTGGACAGGAGTCCTGACGTCACTGAATAAACACGAGTTTTTAAGGGCCATCCCCGCCGTAACCCGAGTACATACCCCAGGTCCCCGCTGCAAGTCAAGAAAAACCATGAGACTTTCCCCTAGTGGTGAGATGAGGCCCGATTCTCCTGCAGTGCATGCAGAGCAATTCCATGATCCCCATCAAACAAGTCAGGACCTTCGACTTGCTTAATGGATCTCGAGACAGTCCCCAAGAATACTATCACATGTCTAGTTGGATCCTGAGGTCACCCCATCAACGCAAAGCAGCACCATGTGCCCCACATCAACTCGAGATAATGCCCGATTCCCCTGCATTGACTCCAGAGCCATCCCCCGTTCCAGATTAAACAAAACCAGTGGCTTGACTTCCTTCAGACAACTCCAGAGATGCCCTGAGAACACTGTCCCAAGTCTAGAGGAACACCATCTTCAGCACAGCAACTCGAGGAATGCTCCGTGTACCCCAAATCGTCTCGAGATGAGAGCTGATTCCCTGGCTTATGCTCAAGACGTATGCCAACTTTCCAGAAGCACCTCAAGGGGAGGCTTCGCTCAGCAATAGTTATGTTGGAGGGACCCCCAGTTTGCTGCCTCAAGTGGAATATGCAACGAGAAGCCCTAACTTGAAAGGAGGCCGGGTTTCCTTGCAGTGTCTTGAATACAGGCTCGTCTTTCATCTCACAACCGGAAGGATTGTCTGAATCCCCTGTGGAGACCTTAGCGAAAGCCCTAGGTCCCTGCCTCATTTTGACGGATTGCCTCACATCCCGTTGACACCTCGGGAGGCACACGGAGTTCACTGTTTCAAATGTGACGATGCCTGACCCCTCCTGATCATTGATAGGAATACCAAAATCACTGTGGCTACAGGAAAGGGTTCTTGTGTGCCCTGCCTCACCTCGAGAAGCATCCCTTTTGCCCTGCCAAGGCTCGAAGAGATTCCTGAGGTGTCCCTCATTACTAGACAGGAGTCATGACGTCACTGAATAAACACGTGTTTTCAAGGGCCATGCCCGCCATAACTCGAGAACATACCCCAGGTCCCGCCGCAACTCGAGAAAAACCATGAGACTTCCCCTAGATGCGAGATGAGGCCTGATTCCCTGCAGTCCATGCAGAGCATTCCCGTGATCCCAATCAAGCAAGTCAGCAGCTTCGAATTTCTTAATGGATCTCGAGATTGTCCCCAGGAACACTGTCACAAGTCTAGACAGACCCTGACATCACACCAGCAACGCAAAGCAGCACCAAGTACCCCATATCAACTCGCGTTGAGGCCCGATTCCCATGCATTGACTCCAGAGCCATCCCCCGTACCCCATTAAACACCACCAGTGGCTTGACTTCCTTCAGGCAAATCCAGAGATGCCCCGAGAACACTGTCCCAAGTCTAGAGGAATACGAACTTCAGCACAGCAACTCGAGGAATGCTCTGTGTACCCCAAATCGTTTCGAGGTGAGAGCTGATTCCATGGCTTAGGCTCAAGACGTATGCCAACTTTCCAGAAGCACCTCAAGGGGAGGCTTCTCTCAGCAATAGGTATGTTGGAGGGACCCCCAGTTTGCTGCCTCAAGTGGAATATGCAGCGAGAAGCCCTAACTTGAAAGGAGGCCGGGTTTCCTTGCAGTGTCTTGAATACAGGCTCGTCTTTCATCTCACAACGGGAAGGAATGTCTGAATCCCCTGTGGAGACCTTAGCGAAAGCCCTAGGTCCCTGCCTCATTTTGACGGATTGCCTCACATCCCGTTGACACCTCGAGAGGCACCCGGAGTTCACTGCTTCAAATGTGACGATGCCTCACTCCTCCTGAACATTGATAGGAATCCCAAAATCACTGTGGCTACAGGAAAGGGTTCTTGTGTGCCCTGCCTCACCTCGAGAAGCATCCCTTTTGCCCTGCCAAGCCTCGAAGAGATTCCTGAGGTGTCTCTCGTTACTAGACAGGAGTCATGACGTCACTGAATAAACACGTGTTTTCAAGGGCCATGCCCGCCATAACTCGAGAACATACCCCACGTACCGCCGCGACTCGAGAAAAACCATGAGACTTCCCCTAGATGCGATATGAGGCCTGATTCCCTGCAGTCCATGCAGAGCATTCCCGTGATCCCAATCAAGCAAGTCAGCAGCTTCGAATTGCTTAATGGATCTCGAGACAGTCCCCAGGAACACTGTCACAAGTCTAGACAGACCATGACATCACCCCAGAAAAGCAAAGCAGGTCCAAGTACCCCACATCACCTCGAGTTGAGGCCCGATTCCCATGCATTGACTCCAGAGCCATCCCCCGTTCCACATTAAACACGACCAGTAGCTTGACTTCCTTCAGGCAACTCCAGAGACGCCCTGAGAACACTGTCCCAAGTCTAGAGAAACACCATCTTCAGCACAGCAACTCGAGGAATGCTCCGTGTACCCCAAATCGTCTCGAGATGAGAGCTGATTCCCTGGCTTAGGTTCAAGTCGTATGCCAACTTTCCAGAAGCACCTCAAGGGGAGACTTCTCTCAGCAATAGGTATGTTGGAGGGACCCCCAGTTTGCTGCCTCAAGAGGAATATACAGCGAAAAGCCCTAACTTGAAAGGAGGCCGGATTTCCTTGCAGTGTCTGGAATACAGGCTCGTCTTTCATCTCACAACCGGAAGGAATGTCTGAATCCTCTGTGGAGACCTTAGAGAAAGCCCTAGGTCCCTGCCTCATTTTGAAGGAATGTCTCACATCCCGTTGACACCTCGAGAGGCACACGGAGTTCACTGCTTCAAAATGTGATGATGCCTGACTCCTCTTGAATATTGATAGGAATCCCTAAATCACTGTAGCTACAGGACAGGGTTCTTGGGTGCCCTGCCTCACCTCGAGAAGCATCCCTTTTGCCTGCCCAGCCTCGAAGAGATTCCTGAGGTGTCTCTTGTTACTAGACAGGAGTCCTGACGTCACTGAATAAACACATGTTTTGAAGGGCCATCCCCGCCATAACTCAAGAACATACCCCAGGTCCCGCCGCAACTCGAGAAAAACCATGAGACTTCCCCTAGATGCGATATGAGGCCTGATTCCCTGCAGTCCATGCAGAGCATTCCCATGATCCCCATCAAGCAAGTCAGGAGCTTCGACTTCCTTAATCGAACTCGAGAAAGTCCCCAGGAACACTGTCACAAGACTAGACAGACCCTGAGGTCACCCCAGCAATGTAAAGCAGCTCCAAGTACCCCACATCAACTCGCGATGAGGCCCGATTCCCCTGCATTGACTCCAGAGCCATCCCCCGTACCACATTAAACACCACCAGTGGCTTGACTTCATTCAGGCAACTCCAGAGATGCCCCGAGAACACTGTCCCAAGACTAGAGGAACACCAACTTCAGCACAGCAACTCGAGGAATGCTCCGTGTACCACAAATCGTTTCGAGGTGAGAGCTGATTCCCAGGCTTAGGCTCAAGACGTATACCAACTTTCCAGAAGCACCTCAAGAGGAGGCTTCTCTCAGCAATCGGTATGTGGGAGGGAACCCGAGTTTGCTGCCTCAAGTGGAATATACAGCGAGAAGCCCTAACTTGAAAGGAGGCCGGATTTCCTTGCAGTGTCTTGAATACAGGCTCGTCTTTCATCTCACAACCGGAAGGGATGTCTGAATCCCCTGTGGAGAACTTAGAGAAAGCCCTAGGTCCCTGCCTCATTTTGACGGATTGCCTCACATCCCGTTGACACCTCGAGAGGCACGCGGAGTTCACTGCTTCAAAAGGTGATGATGCCTGACTCGTCTTGAATATTGATAGGAATCCCAAAATCCCTGTGGCTATTTGAAAGGTTCCTTGGGTGCCCTGCCTCACCTCGAGAAGCATCCCTTTTGCCCTGCCAAGCCTCGAAGAGATTCCTGAGCTGTCCCTCGTTACTGGACAGGAGTCCTGACGTCACTGAATAAACACGAGTTTTTAAGGGCCATCCCCGCCGTAACCCGAGTACATAACCCAGGTCCCCGCTGCAAGTCAAGAAAAACCATGAGACTTTCCCCTAGTGGCGAGATGAGGCCCGATTCTCCTGCAGTGCATGCAGAGCAATTCCATGATCCCCATCAAACAAGTCAGGACCTTCGACTTGCTTAATGGATCTCGAGACAGTCCCCAAGAATACTATCACATGTCTAGTTGGATCCTGAGGTCACCCCATCAACGCAAAGCAGCACCATGTGCCCCACATCAACTCGAGATAATGCCCGATTCCCCTGCATTGACTCCAGAGCCATCCCCCGTTCCAGATTAAACAAAACCAGTGGCTTGACTTCCTTCAGACAACTCCAGAGATGCCCTGAGAACACTGTCCCAAGTCTAGAGGAACACCATCTTCAGCACAGCAACTCGAGGAATGCTCCGTGTACCCCAAATCGTCTCGAGATGAGAGCTGATTCCCTGGCTTATGCTCAAGACGTATGCCAACTTTCCAGAAGCACCTCAAGGGGAGGCTTCGCTCAGCAATAGTTATGTTGGAGGGACCCCCAGTTTGCTGCCTCAAGTGGAATATGCAACGAGAAGCCCTAACTTGAAAGGAGGCCGGGTTTCCTTGCAGTGTCTTGAATACAGGCTCGTCTTTCATCTCACAACCGGAAGGATTGTCTGAATCCCCTGTGGAGACCTTAGCGAAAGCCCTAGGTCCCTGCCTCATTTTGACGGATTGCCTCACATCCCGTTGACACCTCGGGAGGCACACGGAGTTCACTGCTTCAAATGTGACGATGCCTGACCCCTCCTGATCATTGATAGGAATACCAAAATCACTGTGGCTACAGGAAAGGGTTCTTGTGTGCCCTGCCTCACCTCGAGAAGCATCCCTTTTGCCCTGCCAAGGCTCGAAAAGATTCCTGAGGTGTCCCTCATTACTAGACAGGAGTCCTGACGTCACTGAATAAACACGTGTTTTCAAGGGCCAAGCCCGCCATAACTCGAGAACATACCCCACGTACCGCCGCGACTCGAGAAAAACCATGAGACTTCCCCTAGATGCGATATGAGGCCTGATTCCCTGCAGTCCATGCAGAGCATTCCCGTGATCCCAATCAAGCAAGTCAGCAGCTTGAAATTGCTTAATGGATCTCGAGAGAGTCCCCAGGAACACTGTCACAAGTCTAGACAGACCCTGACATCACCCCAGCAAAGCAAAGCAGGTCCAAGTACCCCACATCACCTCGAGTTGAGGCCCGATTCCCATGCATTGACTCCAGAGCCATCCCCCGTACCCCATTAAACACCACCAGTGGCTTGACTTCCTTCAGGCAACTCCAGAGATGCCCCGAGAACAGTGTCCCAAGTCTAGAGGAATACGAACTTCAGCACAGCAACTCGAGGAATGCTCCGTGTACCCCAAATCGTTTCGAGGTGAGAGCTGATTCCATGGCTTAGGCTCAAGACGTATGCCAACTTTCCAGAAGCCCCTCAAGAGGAGGCTTCTCTCAGCAATAAGTATGTGGGAGGGACCCCGAATTTGCTGCCTCAAGTGGAATATACAGCGAGAAGCCCTAACTTGAAAGGAGGCCGGATTTCCTTGCAGTGTCTTGAATACAGGCTCGTCTTTCATCTCACAACCGGAAGGGATGTCTGAATCCCCTGTGGAGAACTTAGAGAAAGCCCTAGGTCCCTGCCTCATTTTGACGGATTGCCTCACATCCCGTTGACACCTCGAGAGGCACGCGGAGTTCACTGCTTCAAAAGGTGATGATGCCTGACTCGTCTTGAATATTGATAGGAATCCCAAAATCCCTGTGGCTATTTGAAAGGTTCCTTGGGTGTCCTGCCTCACCTCGAGAAGCGTCCCTTGTGCCTGCCAAGCCTCGAAGAGATTCCTGAGCTGTCCCTCGTTACTGGACAGGAGTCCTGACGTCACTGAATAAACAGGAGTTTTTAAGGGCCATCCCCGCTGTAACCCGAGTACATACCCCAGGTCCCCGCCGCAAGTCGAGAAAAACCATGAGACTTTCCCCTAGTGGCGAGATGAGGCCCGATTCTCATGCAGTGCATGCAGAGCAATTCTGAGATCCCCATCAAACAAGTCAGGAACTTCGACTAGCTTAATGGATCTCGAGACAGTCCCCAAGAATACTGTCACATGTCTAGACGGATCCTGAGGTCACCCCATCAACGCAAAGCAGCACCATGTGCCCCACATCGACGCGAGATCATGCCCGATTCCCCTGCATTGACTCCAGAGCCATCCCCCGTTCCACATTAAACACCACCAGTGGCTTGACTTCCTTCAGACAACTCCAGAGATGCCCTAGGAACACTGTCGCAAGTCTAGAGGAACACCATCTTCAGCACAGCAACTCGAGGAATGCTCCGTGTACCCCAAATCGTCTCGAGATGAGAGCTGATTCCCTGGCTTAGGCTCAAGACGTATGCCAACTTTCCAGAAGCACCTCAAGGGGAGGCTTCTCTCAGCAATGGGTATGTTGGAGGGACCCCCAGTTTGCTGCCTCAAGTGGAATATGCAGCGAGATGCCCTAACTTGAAAGGAGGCCGGGTTTCCTTGCAGTGTCTTGAATACAGGCTCGTCTTTCATCTCACAACGGGAAGGAATGTCTGAATCCCCTGTGGAGACCTTAGCGAAAGCCCTAGGTCCCTGCCTCATTTTGACGGATTGCCTCACATCCCGTTGACACCTCGAGAGGCACCCGGAGTTCACTGCTTCAAATGTGACGATGCCTGACTCCTCCTGAACATTGATAGGAATCCCAAAATCACTGTGGCTACAGGAAAGGGTTCTTGTGTGCCCTGCATCACCTCGAGAAGCATCCCTTTTGCCCTGCCAAGGCTCGAAAAGATTCCTGAGGTGTCCCTCATTACTAGACAGGAGTCATGACGTCACTGAATAAACACGTGTTTTCAAGGGCCAAGCCCGCCATAACTCGAGAACATACCCCACGTACCGCCGCGACTCGAGAAAAACCATGAGACTTCCCCTAGATGCGATATGAGGCCTGATTCCCTGCAGTCCATGCAGAGCATTCCCGTGATCCCAATCAAGCAAGTCAGCAGCTTCGAATTGCTTAATGGATCTCGAGAGAGTCCCCAGGAACACTGTCACAAGTCTAGACAGACCCTGACATCACCCCAGCAAAGCAAAGCAGGTCCAAGTACCCCACATCACCTCGAGTTGAGGCCCGATTCCCATGCATTGACTCCAGAGCCATCCCCCGTACCCCATTAAACACCACCAGTGGCTTGACTTCCTTCAGGCAACTCCAGAGATGCCCCGAGAACACTGTCCCAAGTCTAGAGGAATACGAACTTCAGCACAGCAACTCGAGGAATGCTCCGTGTACCCCAAATCGTTTCGAGGTGAGAGCTGATTCCATGGCTTAGGCTCAAGACGTATGCCAACTTTCCAGAAGCCCCTCAAGAGGAGGCTTCTCTCAGCAATAAGTATGTGGGAGGGACCCCGAATTTGCTGCCTCAAGTGGAATATACAGCGAGAAGCCCTAACTTGAAAGGATGCCGGATTTCCTTGCAGTGGCTTGAATACAGGCTCGTCTTTCATCTCACAGCATGAAGGGATGTCTGAATCCCCTGTGGAGACCTTAGAAAAGCTCTAGGTCCCTGCCTCGTTTTAACGGAATGCCTCACATCCCGTTGACACTTCGAGAGGCACGCGGAATTCACTGCTTCAAAAGGTGATGATGCCTGACTCGTCTTGAATATTGATAGGAATCCCAAAATCCCTGTGGCTATTTGAAAGGTTCCTTGGGTGTCCTGCCTCACCTCGAGAAGCGTCCCTTGTGCCTGCCAAGCCTCGAAGAGATTCCTGAGCTGTCCCTCGTTACTGGACAGGAGTCCTGACGTCACTGAATAAACAGGAGTTTTTAAGGGCCATCCCCGCTGTAACCCGAGTACATACCCCAGGTCCCCGCCGCAAGTCGAGAAAATCCATGAGACTTTCCCCTAGTGGCGAGATGAGGCCCGATTCTCCTGCAGTGCATGCAGAGCAATTCCGTGATCCCCATCAAACAAGTCAGGACCTTCGACTTGTTTAATGGATCTCGAGACAGTCCCCAAGAATACTGTCAAATGTCTAGACGGATCCTGAGGTCACCCCATCAACGCAAAGCAGCACCATGTGCCCCACATCAACTCGAGATAATGCCCGATTCCCCTGCATTGACTCCAGAGCCATCCCCCGTTCCACATTAAACACCACCAGTCGCTTGACTTCCTTCAGACAACTCCAGAGATGCCCTGAGAACACTGTCCCAAGTCTAGAGGAACACCATCTTCAGCACAGCAACTCGAGGAATGGTCCGTGTACCGCAAATCGTCTCGAGATGAGAGCTGATTCCCTCGCTTAGGCTCAAGACGTATGCCAACTTTCCAGAAGCACCTCAAGGGGAGGTTTCTCTCAGCAATAGGTATGTTGGAGGGACCCCCAGTTTGCTGCCTCAAGTGGAATATGCAGCGAGAAGCCCTAACTTGAAAGGAGGCCGGGTTTCCTTGCAGTGTCTTGAATACAGGCTCGTCTTTCATCTCACAACGGGAAGGAATGTCTGAATCCCCTGTGGAGACCTTAGCGAAAGCCCTAGGTCCCTGCCTCATTTTGACGGATTGCCTCACATCCCGTTGACACCTCGAGAGGCACACGGAGTTCACTGCTTCAAATGTGACGATGCCTGACTCCTCCTGAACATTGATAGGAATCCCAAAATCACTGTGGCTACAGGAAAGGGTTCTTGTGTGCCCTGCATCACCTCGAGAAGCATCCCTTTTGCCATGCCAAGGCTCGAAAAGATTCCTGAGGTGTCCCTCATTACTAGACAGAAGTCATGACGTCACTGAATAAACACGTGTTTTCAAGGGCCAAGCCCGCCATAACTCGAGAACATACCCCACGTACCGCCGCGACTCGAGAAAAACCAGGAGACTTCCCCTAGATGCGATATGAGGCCTGATTCCCTGCAGTCCATGCAGAGCATTCCCGTGATCCCAATCAAGCAAGTCAGCAGCTTCGAATTGCTTAATGGATCTCGAGAGAGTCCCCAGGAACACTGTCACAAGTCTAGACAGACCCTGACATCACCCCAGCAAAGCAAAGCAGGTCCAGGTACCCCACATCACCTCGAGTTGAGGCCCGATTCCCATGCATTGACTCCAGAGCCATCCCCCGTACCCCATTAAACACCACCAGTGGCTTGACTTCCTTCAGGCAACTCCAGAGATGCCCCGAGAACACTGTCCCAAGTCTAGAGGAATACGAACTTCAGCACAGCAACTCGAGGAATGCTCCGTGTACCCCAAATCGTTTCGAGGTGAGAGCTGATTCCATGGCTTAGGCTCAAGACGTATGCCAACTTTCCAGCAGCCCCTCAAGAGGAGGCTTCTCTCAGCAATAAGTATGTGGGAGGGACCCCGAATTTGCTGCCTCAAGTGGAATATACAGCGAGAAGCCCTAACTTGAAAGGATGCCGGATTTCCTTGCAGTGGCTTGAATACAGGCTCGTCTTTCATCTCACAGCATGAAGGGATGTCTGAATCCCCTGTGGAGACCTTAGAAAAGCTCTAGGTGCCTGCCTCGTTTTAACGGAATGCCTCACATCCCGTTGACACTTCGAGAGGCACGCGGAATTCACTGCTTCAAAAGGTGATGATGCCTGACTCGTCTTGAATATTGATAGGAATCCCAAAATCCCTGTGGCTATTTGAAAGGTTCCTTGGGTGTCCTGCCTCACCTCGAGAAGCGTCCCTTTTGCCTGCCAAGCCTCGAAGAGATTCCTGAGCTGTCCCTCGTTACTGGACAGGAGTCCTGACGTCACTGAATAAACAGGAGTTTTTAAGGGCCATCCCCGCTGTAACCCGAGTACATACCCCAGGTCCCCGCCGCAAGTCGAGAAAATCCATGAGACTTTAGCCTAGTGGCGAGATGAGGCCCGATTCTCCTGCAGTGCATGCAGAGCAATTCCGTGATCCCCATCAAACAAGTCAGGACCTTCGACTTGTTTAATGGATCTCGAGACAGTCCCCAAGAATACTGTCAAATGTCTAGACGGATCCTGAGGTCACCCCATCAACGCAAAGCAGCACCATGTGCCCCACATCAACTCGAGATAATACCCGATTCCCCTGCATTGACTCCAGAGCCATCCCCCGTTCCACATTAAACACCACCAGTGGCTTGAGTTCCTTCAGACAACTCCAGAGATGCCCTGAGAACACTTTCCCAAGTCTAGAGGAACACCAACTTCAGCACAGCAACTCGAGGAATGCTCCGTGTACCACAAATCGTCTCGAGATGAGAGCTGAATCGCTGGCTTAGGCTCAAGACGTATGCCAACTTTCCAGAAGCACCTCAAGAGGAGGCTTCTCTCAGCAATAGGTATGTTCGAGGGACCCCGAGTTTGCTGCTCAAGTGGAATATATAGCGAGAAGCCCTAAATTGAAAGGAGGCCGGATTTCCTTGCAGTGGCTTGAATACAGGCTCGTCTTTCATCTCACAGCATGAAGGGATGTCTGAATCCCCTGTGGAGACGTTAGAGAAAGCTCTAGGTCCCTGCCTCATTTTGACGGAATGCCTCATATCCCGTTGTCACCTCGAGAGGCAAGCGGAGTTCAGTGCTTCAAAATGTGACGATGCCTGACTCCTCTTGAATATTGATAGGAATCCCAAAATCCATGTGGCTATTGGAAAGGTTTCTTGGGTACCCTGCCTCACCTTGAGAAGCGTCCCTTGTGCACTGCCAAGCCTCGAAGAGATTCCTGAGCTGCCCCTCGTTACTGGACAGGAGTCCTGACGTCACTGAATAAACACGAGTTTTGAAGAGCCATCCCCGTCGTAACCCGAGTACATACCCCAGGTCCCCGCCGCAAGTCGAGAAAAACCATGAGACTTTCCCCTATAGGCGAGATGATTCCCGATTCTCCTGCAGTGCATGCAGAGCAATTCCGTGATCCCCATCAAACAAGTCAGGACCTTCGACTTGCTTAATGGATCTCGAGACAGTCCCCAAGAATACTGTCACATGTCTAGACGGATCCTGAGGTCACCCCATCAACGCAAAGCAGCACAATGTGCCCCAAATCAACTCGGGATGATGGCAGATTCCCCTGCATTGACCCTAGAGCCATCACCCGTTCCCCATTAAACACGACTAGTGGCTTGACTTCCTTTAGGCAACTCCAGAGATGCCCCGAGAACACTGTCCCAAGTCTAGAGGAACACCAACTTCAGCAAAGCAACTCGAGGAATGCGCCGTGTACCCCAAATCGTCTCGAGATGAGAGCTGATTCCCTGGCTTAGGTTCAAGACGTATGCCAACTTTCCAGAAGCACCTCAAGGGGAGCCTTCTCTCAGCAATAGGTATGTTGGAGGGACCTCCACTTTGCTGCCTCAAGTAGAATTTACAGCGAGAAGCCATAACTTGAAAGGAGGCCCGGTTTCCTTGCAGTGTCTTGAATACAGGCTCGTCTTTCATCTCACAACAGGAAGGGATGTCTGAATCCCCTGTGGAGACCTTAGAGAAAGCCCTAGGCCCCTGCCTCATTTTGACGGAATGTCTCACATCCCGTTGACACCTCGAGAGGCACACGGAGTTCACTGCTTCAAAATGTGACGATGCCTGACTCCTCCTGAACATTGATAGGAATCCCAAAATCACTGTAGCTACAGGACAGGGTTCTTGGGTGCCCTGCCTCACCTCGAGAAGCATCCCTTTTGCCCTGCCAAGCCTCGAAGAGATTCCTGAGGTGTCTCTCATTACTAGACAGGAGTCCTGACGTCACTGAATAAACACGTGTTTTGAAGGGCCATCCCCGCCGTAACTCGAGAACATACCCCAGTTCGCGCCGCAACTCGAGTAAAACCATGAGACTTCCCCTAGAGGCGAGATGAGGCCTGATTCCCTGCAGTCCATGAAGAGCATTCCCGTGATCCCCATCAAACAAGTCAGGAGCTTCGACTTGCTTAATGGATCTCCAGAGAGTCCCCAGGAACACTGTCACAAGTCTAGACAGACCCTGAGGTCACCCCAGCAATGCAAAGCAGCTGCAAGTACCCCACATCAACTCGAGATGAGGCCCGATTCCCATGCATTGACTCCAGAGCCATCCCCCGTACCCCATTAAACACAACCATTGGCTTGACTTCCTTCCGGCAACACCAGAGATGCCCCGAGAACACTGTCCCAAGTCTAGAGGAATACGAACTTCAGCACAGCAACTCGAGGAATGCTCCGTGTACCCCAAATCGTTTCGAGGTGAGAGCTGATTCCATGGCTTAGGCTCAAGACGTATGCCAACTTTCCAGAAACCCCTCAAGAGGAGGCTTCTCTCAGCAATAGGTATGTGGGAGGGACCCCGAGTTTGCTGCATCAAGTGGAATATACAGCCAGAAGCCCTAACTTGAAAGGAGGCCGGATTTCCTTGCAGTGGCTTGAATACAGGCTCGTCTTTCATCTCACAGCATGAAGGGGTGTCTGAAGCCCCTGTGTAGACCTTAGAGAAAGCTCTAGGTCCCTGCCTCATTTTGACGGAATGCCTCACATCCCATTGACACCTCGAGAGGCACGCGGAGTTCACTGCTTCAAAAGGTGATGATGCCTGACTCGTCTTGAATATTGATAGGAATCCCAAAATCACTGTGGCTACTGGAAATGGTCCTTGGGTGCCCTGCCTCTCCTCGAGAAGCATACCTTTTGACCTGCCAAGCCTCGAAGAGATTCCTGAGGTGTCCCTCGTTACTAGACAGGAGTCCTGACGGCACTGAATAAACACGGGTTTTGAGGGGCCATCCCCGCCGTAACTCGAGAAGATTCCCCAGGTCCCCCGCGCAACTTGAGAGAAACCGTGAGACTTCCCCCTACATGCGAGATGAGTCCTGATTCCCTGCAGTGCATGCAGAGTATTCCCGTGATCCCCAGCAAACAAGTCAGGAGTTTCGACTTGCTTAATTGAACTCGAGAAAGTCCCCAGGAACACTGTCACAAGTCTAGACAGACCCTGAGGTCACCCCAGCAATGCAAAGCAGCTGCAAGTACCCCACATCAACTCGAGATGAGGCCCGATTCCCATGCATTGACTCCAGAGCCATCCCCAGTTCCCCATTAAACAAGACCACTGGCTTGTCTTCCTTCAGACAACTCCAGAGATGCCCCGAGAACACTGAGCCAAGACTAGAGGAACACCAACTTCAGTACAGCAACTAGAGGAATGCCCCGTGTACCACAAATCGTCTCGAGATGAGAGCTGATTCCCTGCCTTAGGCTCAAGACGTATGCCAACTTTCCAGAAGCACCTCAAGAGGAGGCTTCTCTCAGCAATAGGTATGTTCGTGGGACCCCGAGTTTGCTGCCTAAAGTGGAATATACAGTGAGAAGCCCTAACTTGAATGGAGGCCGGATTTCCTTGCAGTGTCTTGAATACAGGCTCGTATTTCATCTCACAACAGGAAGGGATGTCTGAATCCCCTGTGGAGACCATAGAGAAAGCCCTAGGTCCCTGCCTCATTTTGACGGAATGCCTCACATCCCGTTGACACCACGAGAGGCACGCGGAGTTCACTGCTTCAAAAGGTGACGATGCCTGACTCCTCTTGAATATTGATACGAATCCCAAAATCCCTGTGGCTATTGGAAAGTTTCCTTGGGTGCCCTGCCTCATCTCGAGAAGCGTCCCTTGTGCCCCGGCAAACCTCGAAGAGATTCCTGCGCTGTCCCTCGTTACTGGAGAGGAGTCCTGACGTCAATGAATAAACACGTGTTTTGAAGGGCCATCGCCGCCCTAACTCGAGTATATACCCCAGGTCCCCGCCGCAACTCGAGAAAAACCATGAAACTTTCCCCTAGAGGCGAGATGAGCCCCGGTTCTCCTGCACTGCATGCAGAGCAATTCCGTGATCCCCATCCAACAAGTCAGGAGCTTCGACTTGCTTAATGGATCTCGAGACATTCCCCAAGAACACTGTCACATGTCTAGACGGACCCTGAGGTATCCCCAGCAACGCAAAGCAGCTCCATGTGCCCCAAATCAACATGAGATGAGGTCCGATTCCCCTCTATTGACTCCAGAGCCATCTGCTGTTCCGCATTAAACACCACCAGTGGCTTGACCTCCTTCAGACAACTCCAGAGATGCCCCGAGAACACTGTCCCTAGTCTAGAGGAACACCTACTTTAGCACAGCAACTCGAGGAATGCTTCCTGTATGCCAAATCCTCTCAAGATGAGAGCTGATTCCCTGGCTTAGGCTCAAGACGTATGCCAACTTTCCAGAAGCACTTCAAGAGGAGGCTTCTCTCAGCAATATGTATGTGGGAGGGAACCCGAGTGTGCTGCCTCAAATGGAATATACAGCGAGAAGCACTAACTAGAAAGGAGGCCGGTTTCCTAGCAGTGTCTTGAATTCAGGCTCGTCTTTCATCTCACAGCAGGAAGAGATGTCTGAATCCCCTGTGGAGACTTTAGAGAAAGCCCTAGGTCCCTGCCACATTTTGACGGAATGCCTCACATCCGGTTGACACCTCGAGAGTCACGCGGAGTTCACTGCTTCAAAAGCTGACGATGCCTGACTCCTCTAAAATATTGATAGGAATCACAAAATCCCTGTGGCTATTTGAAAGGTTCCTTGGGTGCCCTGCCTCACCTCGAGAAGCGTCCCTTGTGCCTGCCAAGCCTCGAAGAGATTCCTGAGCTGTCCCTCGTTACTGGACAGGAGTCCTGACGTCACTGAATAAACACAAGTTTTTAAGGGCCATCCCCGCCGTAACCCGAGTACATACCCCAGGTCCCCGTCGCAAGTCGAAAAAAACCATGAGACTTTCCCCTCGTGGCGAGATGAAGCCCGATTCTCCTGCAGTGCATGCAGAGCAATTCCGTGATCCCCATCAAACAAGTCAGGACCTTCGACTTGCTTAATGGATCTCGAGACAGTCCCCAAAAAAACTGTCACATGTCTAGACGGATCCTGCGGTCACCCCATCAACGCAAAGCAGCACCATGTGCCCCACATCAACTCGAGATAATGCCCGAATCCCCTGCATTGACTCAGAGCCATCCCACGTTCCACATTAAACACCACCAGTGGCTTGACTTCCTTCAGACAACTCCAGAGATGCCCTGAGAACACTGTCCCAAGTCTAGAGGAACACCATCTTCAGCACAGCAACTCGAGGAATGCTCCGTGTACCCCAAATCGTCTCGAGATGAGAGCTGATTCCCTGGCTTAGGCTCAAGACGTATGCCAACTTTCCAGAAGCACCTCAAGGGGAGGCTTCTCTCAGCAAAAGGTATGTTGGAGGGACCCCCAGTTTGCTGCCTCAAGTGGAATATGCAGCAAGAAGCCCTAACTTGAAAGGAGGCCGGGTTTCCTTGCAGTGTCTTGAATACAGGCTCGTCTTTCATCTCACAACTGGAAGGAATGTCTGAATCCCCTGTGGAGACCTTAGCGAAAGCCCTAGGTCCCTGCCTCATTTTGACGGATTGACTCACATCCCGTTGACACCTCGGGAGGCACACGGAGTTCACTGCTTCAAATGTGACGATGCCTGACTCCTCCTGAACATTGATAGGAATCCCAAAATCACTGTGGCTACAGGAAAGGGTTCTTGTGTGCCCTGCCTCACCTCGAGAAGCATCCCTTTTGCCCTGCCAAGGCTCGAGGAGATTCCTGAGGTGTCCCTCATTACTAGACAGGAGTCATGACGTCACTGACTAAACACGTGTTTTCAAGGGCCATGCCCGCCATAACTCGATAACATACCCCAGGTCCCGACGCAACTCGAGAAAAACGATGAGGCTTCCCCTAGATGCGATATGAGGCTTGATTCCCTGCAGTACATGCAGAGCATTCCCGTGATCCCAATCAAGCAAGTCAGCAACTTCAAATTGCTTAATGGATCTCGAGAGAGTCCACAGGAACACTGTCACAAGTCTAGACAGACCGTGACATCACCCCAGCAACGCAAAGCAGCCCCAAGTACCCGACATCAAGTCGAGTTGAGGCCCGATTCCCATGCATTGACTCCAGAGCTATCCCCCGTACACCATTAAAGCACAACCAGTGGATTGATTTCCTTAAGGCAACTCCAGAGATGCCCCGAGAACACTGTCCCAAGTCTAGAGGAATACGAACTTCAGCAAAGCAACTCGAGGAATGCTCCGTGTACCCCAAATCGTTTCGAGGTGAGAGCTGATTCCATGGCTAGGCTCAAGACGTATGCCAACTTTCCAGAAGCCCCTCAAGAGGAGGCTTCTCTCAGCAATAGGTATGTGGGAGGGACCCCGAGTTTGCTGCCTCAAGTGGAATATACAGCGAGAAGCCCTAACTTGAAAGGAGGCCGGATTTCCTTGCAGTGGCTTGAATACAGGCTCGTCTTTCATCTCACAGCATGAAGGGATGTCTGAATCCCCTGTGGAGACCTTAGAGAAAGCTCTAGGTACCTGCCTCATTTTGACGGAATGCCTCACATCCCGTTGACACTTCGAGAGGCACGCGGAGTTCACTGCTTCAAAAGGTGATGATGCCTCACTCGTCTTGAATATTGATAGCAATCCCAAAATCACTGTGGCTACTGGAAAGGGTCCTTGGGTGCCCTGCGTCACCTCGAGAAGCATACCTTTTGACCTGCCAAGCCTCGAAGAGATTCCTGAGGTGTCCCTCGTTACTAGACAGGAGTCCTGACGGCACTGAATAAACACGTGTTTTGAAGGGCCATCCCCGCCGTAACTCGAGAAGATACCCCATGTCCCCCGCAACTTGAGAGAAACCATGAGACTTCCCCCTAGATGCGAGATGAGTCCTGATTCCCTGCAGTGCATGCAGAGTATTCCCGTGATCCCCATAAAACAAGTCAGGTGCTTCGAATTGCTTAATGGATCTCGAGACAGTCCCCAAGAACACTGTCACAAGTCTAGACGGACCCTGAGGTCACCCCAGCAACGCAAAGCAGCTCCATGTGCCCCAAATCAACCCGAGATGTGGCCCGATTCCCCTGCATTGACTCCAGAGCCATCCCCAGTTCCCCATTAAACAAGACAACTGGCAAGACTTCCTTCATGCAACTCCAGAGATGCCCTGAGAACACTGTCCCAAGTCTAGAGGAACACCAACTTCAGCACAGCAACTCGAGGAATGCTCCGTGTACCACAAATCGTCTCGACATGAGAGCTGAATCCCTGGCTTAGGCTCAAGACGTATGCCAACTTTCCAGAAGCACCTCAAGAGGAGGATTCTCTCAGCAATAGGTATGTTGGAGGGACCCCGAGTTTGCTGCCTCAAGTGGAATATACAGCGAGAAGCCCTAACTTGAAAGGAGGCCGGATTTCCTTGCAGTGGCTTGAATACAGGCTCGTCTTTCATTTCACAGAATGAAGGGGTGTCTGAATCCCATGTGGAGGCCTTAGAGAAAGCTATAGGTCCCTACCTCATTTTGACGGAATGCCTCACATCCCGTTGTCACCTCCAGAGGCACGCGGAGTTCACTGCTTCAAAAGGTGACGATGCCTGACTCCTCTAAAATATTTATAGAAATCCCAAAATCCCTGTGGCTATTGGAAACGTTCCTTGGGTGCCCTGCCTCAAGTGGAGAAGCGTCCCTTGTGCCCTGCCAAGCCTCGATGAGATTCCTGAGCTGTCTCTCGTTACTGGACAGGAGTTCTGACGTCACTGAATAAACACGAGTTTTGAAGGCCATCCCCGCCGTAACCCGAGTACGTACCCCAGGTCCCCGCCGCAAGTCGAGAAAAACCATGAGACTTTCCCCTAGAGGCGAGATGAGGCCCGATTCTCCTGCAGTGCATGCAGAGCAATTCCGTGATCCCCATCAAACAAGTCAGAAGCTTCGACTTGCTTAATGGATCTCGAGACAGTCCCCAAGAACACTGTCACATGTCTAGACGGATCCTGAGGTCACCCCATCAAGGCAAAGCAGCACCATGTGCCCCACATCAACTCGAGATAATGCCCGATTCCCCTGCATTGACTCCAGAGCCATCCCCCGTTCCACATTAAACACGACCAGTGGCTTGACTTCCTTCACGCAACTGCAGAGACGCCCTGAGAACACTGTCCCAAGTCTAGAGGAACACCATCTTCAGCACAGCAACTCGAGGAATGCTCCGTGTACCCCAAATCGTCTCGAGATGAGAGCTGATTCCCTGGCTTAGGCTCAAGACGTATGCCAACTTTCCAGAAGCACCTCAAGGGGAGCCTTCTCTCAGCAATAGGTATGTTGGAGGGACCCCCAGTTTGCTGCCTCAAAAGGAATATACAGCGAGAAGCCCTAACTTGAAAGGAGGCCGGATTTCCTTGCAGTGTCTTGAATACAGGCTCGTCTTTCATCTCACAACCGGAAGGAATATCTGAATCCTCTGTGGAGACCTTAGAGAAAGCGCTAGGTCCCTGCCTCATTTTGAAGGAATGTCTCACATCCCGTTGACACCTCGAGAGGCACACAGAGTTCACTGCTTCAAAATGTGATGATGCCTGACTCCTCTTGAACATTGATAGGAATCCCAAAATCACTTTAGCTACAGGACAGGGTTCTTGGGTGCCCTGCCTCACCTCGAGAAGCATCCCTTTGCCTGCCAAGCCTCGAAGAGATTCCTGAGGTGTCTCTCGTTACTAGACAGGAGTCCTGACGTCACTGAATAAACACGTGTTTTGAAGGGCCATCCCCGCCGTAACTCGAGAACATACCCCAGGTCCCGCCGCAACTCGAGAAAAACCATGAGACTTCCCCTAGATGCGAGATGACGTCTGATTCCCTGCAGTCCATGAAGAGCAGTCCCGTGATCCCCATCAAGCAAGTCAGGAGCTTCGACTTGCTTAATGGATCTCCAGAGAGTCCCCAGGAACACTGTCACAAGTCTAGACAGACCCTGAGGTCACCCCAGCAATGCAAAGCAGCTCCAAGTGCCCCACATCAACCCGAGATGAGGCCCGATTCTCCGGTATTGACTCAAGAGCCATCCCCCGTACCCCATTAAACACCAACACTGGCTTGACTTCATTCAGGCAACTCAAGAGATGCCCCAAGAACACTGTTCCAAGTCTAGAGGAACACCAACTTCAGCACAGCAACTCGAGGAATGATCCGTGTACCCCAAATCGTTCCGAGGTGAGAGCTGATTCCCTGGCTTAGGCTCAAGACGTATGCCAACTTTCCAGAAGCACCTCAAGAGGAGGCTTCTCTCAGCAATAGGTATGTGGGAGGGAACCCGAGTTTGCTGCCTCAAATGGAATATACAGCGAGAAGCACTAACTAGAATGGAGTCCGGTTTCCTAGCAGTGTCTTGAATACAGGCTCATCTTTCATCTCACAGCAGGAAGAGATGTCTGAATCCCCTGTGGAGACCTTAGAGAAAGCCCTAGGTCCCTGCCTCATTTTGACGGAATGCCTCACATCCCGTTGACACCTCGAGAGTCACGCGGAGTTCACTGCTTCAAAAGCTGACGATGCCTGACTCATCTTGAATATTGATAGGAATCACAAAATCCCTGTGGCTATTTGAAAGGTTCCTTGGGTGCCCTGCCTCAACTCGAGAAGCGTCCCTTGTGCCTGCCAAGCCTCGAAGAGATTCCTGAGCTGTCCCTCGTTACTGGACAGGAGTCCTGACGTCACTGAATAAACACGAGTTTTTAAGGGCCATCCCCGCCGTAACCCGAGTACATACCCCAGGTCCCCGCCGCAAGTCGAGAAAAACCATGAGACTTTCCCCTAGTGGCGAGATGAGGCCCGATTCTCCTGCAGTGCATGCAGAGCAATTCCATGATCCCCATCAAACAAGTCAGGACCTTCGACTTGCTTAATGGATCTCGAGACAGTCCCCAAGAATACTATCACATGTCTAGACCGATCCTGAGGTCACCCCATCAACGCAAAGCAGCACCATGTGCCCCACATCAACTCGAGATAATGCCCGATTCCCCTGCATTGACTCCAGAGCCATCCCCCGTTCCCCATTAAACACCACCAGTGGCTTGACTTCCTTCAGACAACTCCAGAGATGCCCTGAGAACACTGTCCCAAGTCTAGAGGAACACCGTCTTCAGCACAGCAACTCGAGGAATGCTCCGTGTACCCCAAATCGTCTCGAGATGAGAGCTGATTCCCTGGCTTATGCTCAAGACGTATGCCAACTTTCCAGAAGCACCTCAAGGGGAGGCTTCGCTCAGCAATAGTTATGTTGGAGGGACCCCCAGTTTGCTGCCTCAAGTGGAATATGCAACGAGAAGCCCTAACTTGAAAGGAGGCCGGGTTTCCTTGCAGTGTCTTGAATACAGGCTCGTCTTTCATCTCACAACCGGAAGGATTGTCTGAATCCCCTGTGGAGACCTTAGCGAAAGCCCTAGGTCCCTGCCTCATTTTGACGGATTGCCTCACATCCCGTTGACACCTCCGGAGGCACACGGAGCTCACTGCTTCAAATGTGACGATGCCTGACCCCTCCTGATCATTGATAGGAATCCCAAAATCACTGTGGCTACAGGAAAGGATTCTTGTGTGCCCTGCCTCACCTCGAGAAGCATCCCTTTGCCCTGCCAAGGCTCGAAGAGATTCCTGAGGTGTCCCTCATTACTAGACAGGAGTTATTACGTCACTGAATAAACACGTGTTTTCAAGGGCCATGCCCGCCATAACTCGAGAACATACCCCAGGTCCAGCCACAACTCGAGAATAAAGATGAGACTTCCCCTAGATGCGAGATGAGGCCTGATTCCCTGCAGTCCATGCAGAGCATTCCCGTGATCCCAATCAAGCAAGTCAGCAGCTTCGAATTTCTTAATGGATATCGAGAGAGTCCCCAGGAACACTGTCACAAGTCTAGACAGACCCTGACATCACCCCAGCAACGCAAAGCAGCTCCAAGTACCCCACATCAACTCGCGTTGAGGCCCGATTCCCATGCATTGACTCCAGAGCCATACCCCGTACCCCATTAAACACCACCAGTGGCTTGACTTCCTTCAGGCAACTCGAGAGATGCCCCGAGAACACTGTCCCAAGTCTAGAGGAATACGAACTTCAGCACAGCAACTCGAGGAATGCTCCGTGTACCCCAAATCGTTTCGAGGTGAGAGCTGATTCCATGGCTTAGGCTCAAGACGTATGCCAACTTTCCAGAAGCACCTCAAGAGGAGGCTTCTCTCAGCAATAGGTATTTGGGAAGGACCCCGAGTTTGCTGCCTCAAGTGGAATATACAGCGAGAAGCCCTAACTTGAAAGGAGGCCGGATTTCCTTGCAGTGGCTTGGATACAGGCTCTTCTTTCATCTCACAGCATGAAGGGATGTCTGAATCCCCTGTGGAGACCTTAGAGAAAGCTCTAGGTCCCTGCATCATTTTGACGGAATGCCTCACATCCAGTTGACACTTCGAGAGGCACGCGGAGTTCACTGCTTCAAAAGGTGATGATGCCTGACTCGTCTTGAATATTGATAGGAATCCCAAAATCACTGTGGCTACTGGAAAGGGACATTGGTTGCCCTGCCTCACCTTGAGAAGCATACCTTTTGACCTGCCAAGCCTCGAAGAGATTCCTGAGTTGTCCCTCGTTACTAGACAGGAGTCCTGACGGCACTGAATAAACACGGGTTTTGAGGGGCCATCCCCGCCGTAACTCGAGAAGATACCCCAGGTCCCCCGCGCAACTTGAGAGAAACCGTGAGACTTCCCCCTAGATGCGAGATGAGTCCTGATTCCCTGCAGTGCATGCAGAGTATTCCCGTGATCCCCATCAAACAAGTCAGGAGCTTCGACTTGCTTAATGGATCTCGAGACAGTCCCCAAGAACACTGTCACAAGTCTAGACGGACCCTGAGGTCACCACAGCAACGCAAAGCAGCTCCATGTGCCCCAAATCAACCCGAGATGTGGCCCGATTCCCCTGAATTGACTCCAGAGCCATCCCCGGTTCCCCATTAAACAAGACAACTGGTTAGACTTCCTTCAGGCAACTCCAGAGATGCCCCGCAAACACTCTCCCAAGACTAGAGGAACACCAACTTCAGCACAGCAACTCGAGGAATGCTCCGTGTACCACAAATCGTCTCGAGATGAGAGCTGAATCCCTGGCTTAGGCTCAAGACGTATGCCAACTTTCCAGAAGCACCTCAAGAGGAGGATTCTCTCAGCAATAGATATGTTGGAGGGACCCCGAGTTTGCTGCCTCAAGTGGAATATACAGCGAGAAGCCCTAACTTGAAAGGAGGCCGGATTTCCTTGCAGTGGCTTGAATACAGGCTCGTCTTTCATCTCACAGAATGAAGGGATGTCTGAATCCCCTGTGGAGACCTTAGAGAAAGCTATAGGTCCCTGCCACATTTTGACGGAATGCCTCACATCCGGTTGACACCTCGAGAGTCACGCGGAGTTCACTGCTTCAAAAGCTGACGATGCCTGACTCCTCTAAAATATTGATAGGAATCACAAAATCCCTGTGGCTATTTGAAAGGTTCCTTGGGTGCCCTGCCTCACCTCGAGAAGCGTCCCTTGTGCCTGCCAAGCCTCGAAGAGATTCCTGAGCTGTCCCTCGTTACTGGACAGGAGTCCTGACGTCACTGAATAAACACGAGTTTTTAAGGGCCATCCCCGCCGTAAACCGAGTACATACCCCAGGTCCCCGTCGTAAGTCGAAAAAAACCATGAGACTTTCCCCTCGTGGCGAGATGAGGCCCGATTCTCCTGCAGTGCATGCAGAGCAATTCCGTGATCCCCATCAAACAAGTCAGGACCTTCGACTTGCTTAATGGATCTCGAGACAGTCCCTAAAAAAACTGTCACATGTCTAGACGGAGCCTGCGGTCACCCCATCAACGCAAAGCAGCACCATGTGCCCCACATCAACTAGAGATAATGCCCGAATCCCCTGCATTGACTCCAGAGCCATCCCACGTTCCACATTAAACACCACCAGTGGCTTGACTTCCTTCAGACAACTCCAGAGATGCCCTGAGAACACTGTCCCAAGTCTAGAGGAACACCATCTTCAGCACAGCAACTCGAGGAATGCTCCGTGTACCCCAAATCGTCTTGAGATGAGAGCTGATTCCCTGGCTTAGGCTCAAGACGTATGCCAACTTTCCAGAAGCACCTCAAGGGGAGGCTTCTCTCAGCAATAGTTATGTTGGAGGGACCCCCAGTTTGCTGCCTCAAGTGGAATATGCAACTAGAAGCCCTAACTTGAAAGGAGGCCGGGTTTCCTTGCAGTGTCTTGAATACAGGCTCGTCTTTCATCTCACAACCGGAAGGAATGTCTGAATCCCCTGTGGAGACCTTAGCGAAAGCCCTAGGTCCCTGCCTCATTTTGACGGATTGCCTCACATCCCCTTGACACCTCGGGAGGCACACGGAGTTCACTGCTTCAAATGTGACGATGCCTGACTCCTCCTGAACATTGATAGGAATCCCAAAATCACTGTGGCTACAGGAAAGGGTTCTTGTGTGCCCTGCCTCACCTCGAGAAGCATCCCTTTTGCCCTGCCAAGGCTCGAAGAGATTCCTGAGGTGTCCCTCATTACTAGACAGGAGTCATGACGTCACTGACTAAACACGTGTTTTCAAGGGCCATGCCCGCCATAACTCGAGAACATACCCCAGGTCCCGACGCAACTCGAGAAAAACGATGAGACTTCCCCTAGATGCGATATGAGGCTTGATTCCCTGCAGTACATGCAGAGCATTCCCGTGATCCCAATCAAGCAAGTCAGCAGCTTCAAATTGCTTAATGGATCTCGAGAGAGTCCCCAGGAACACTGTCACAAGTCTAGACAGACCGTGACATCACCCCAGCAACGCAAAGCAGCTCCAAGTACCCCACATCAACTCGAGTTGAGGCCCGATTCCCATGCATTGACTCCAGAGCTATCCCCCATACCCAATTAAAGCACAACCAGTGGATTGATTTCCTTCAGGCAACTCCAGAGATGCCCCGAGAACACTCTCCGAAGTCTAGAGGAATACGAACTTCAGCAAAGCAACTCGAGGAATGCTCCGTGTACCCCAAATCGTTTCGAGGTGAGAGCTGATTCCATGGCTAGGCTCAAGACGTATGCCAACTTTCCAGAAGCCCCTCAAGAGGAGGCTTCTCTCAGCAATAGGTGTGTGGGAGGGACCCCGAGTTTGCTGCCTCAAGTGGAATATACAGCGAGAAGCCCTAACTTGAAAGGAGGCCGGATTTCCTTGCAGTGGCTTGAATACAGGCACGTCTTTCATCTCACAGCATGAAGGGATGTCTGAATCCCCTGTGGAGACCTTACAGAAAGCTCTAGGTACCTGCCTCATTTTGACGGAATGCCTCACATGCCATTGACACTTCGAGAGGCACGCAGAGTTCACTGCTTCAAAAGGTGATGATGCCTCACTCGTCTTGAATATTGATAGGAATCCCAAAATCACTGTGGCTCCTGGAAAGGGTCCTTGAGTGTCCTGCGTCACCTCGAGAAGCATACCTTTTGACCTGCCAAGCCTCGAAGAGATTCCTGAGGTGTCCCTCGTTACTAGACAGGAGTCCTGACGGCACTGAATAAACACGTGTTTTGAAGGGCCATCCCCGCCGTAACTCGAGAAGATACCCGAGGTCCCCCGCGCAACTTGAGAGAAACCATGAGACTTCCCCCTAGATGCGAGATGAGTCCTGATTCCCTGCAGTGCATGCAGAGTATTCCCGTGATCCCCATAAAACAAGTCAGGAGCTTCGAATTGCTTAATGGATCTCGAGACAGTCCCCAAGAACACTGTCACAAGTCTAGACGGACCCTGAGGTCACCCCAGCAACGCAAAGCAGCTCCATGTGCCACAAATCAACCCGAGATGTGGCCCGATTCCCCTGCATTGACTCCAGAGCCATCCCCAGTTCCCCATTAAACAAGACAACTGGCAAGACTTCCTTCATGCAACTCCAGAGATGCCCAGCAAACACTCTCCCAAGACTAGAGGAATACCAACTTCAGCACAGCAACTCGAGGAATGCTCCGTGTACCACAAATCGTCTCGAGATGAGAGCTGAATCCCTGGCTTAGGCTCAAGACGTATGCCAACTTTCCAGAAGCACCTCAAGAGGAGGATTCTCTCAGCAATAGGTATGTTGGAGGGACCCCGAGTTTGCTGCCTCAAGTGGAATATACAGCGAGAAGCCCTAACTTGAAAGGAGGCCGGCTTTCCTTGCAGTGGCTTGAATACAGGCTCGTCTTTCATCTCACAGAATGAAGGGATGTCTGAATCCCCTGTGGAGGCCTTAGAGAAAGCTATAGGTCCCTACCTCATTTTGACGGAATGCCTCACAACCCGTTGTCACCTCCAGAGGCACGCGGAGTTCACTGCTTCAAAAGGTGACGATGCCTGACTCCTCTAAAATATTTATAGGAATCCCAAAATCCCTGTGGCTATTGGAAACGTTCCTTGGGTGCCCTGCCTCAAGTGGAGAAGCGTCCCTTGTGCCCTGCCAAGCCTCGATGAGATTCCTGAGCTGTCTCTCGTTACTGGACAGGAGTTCTGACGTCACTGAATAAACACGAGTTTTGAAGGCCATCCCCGCCGTAACCCGAGTACATACCCCAGGTCCCCGCCGCAAGTCGAGAAAAACCATGAGACTTTCCCCTAGAGGCGAGATGAGGCCCGATTCTCCTGCAGTGCATGCAGAGCAATTCCGTGATCCCCATCAAACAAGTCAGAAGCTTCGACTTGCTTAATGGATCTCGAGACAGTCCACAAGAACACTGTCACATGTCTAGACGGATCCTGAGGTCACCCCATCAAGGCAAAGCAGCACCATGTGCCCCAAATCAACTCGAGATAATGCCCGATTCCCCTGCATTGACTCCAGAGCCATCCCCCGTTCCACATTAAACACGACCAGTGGCTTGACTTCCTTCAGGCAACTCCAGAGACGCCCTGAGAACACTGTCCCAAGTCTAGAGGAACACCATCTTCAGCACAGCAACTCGAGGAATGCTCCGTGTACCCCAAATCGTCTTGAGATGAGAGCTGATTCCCTGGCTTAGGCTCAAGACGTATGCCAACTTTCCAGAAGCACCTCAAGGGGAGCCTTCTCTCAGCAATAGGTATGTTGGAGGGACCCCCAGTTTGCTGCCTCAAAAGGAATATACAGCGAGAAGCCCTAACTTGAAAGGAGGCCGGATTTCCTTGCAGTGTCTTGAATACAGGCTCGTCTTTCATCTCACAACCGGAAGGAATGTCTGAATCCTCTGTGGAGACCTTAGAGAAAGCGCTAGTTCCCTGCCTCATTTTGAAGGAATGTCTCACATCCCGTTGACACCTCGAGAGGCACACAGAGTTCACTGCTTCAAAATGTGATGATGCCTGACCCTTCTTGAACATTGATAGGAATCCCAAAATCACTTTAGCTACAGGACAGGGTTCTTGGGTGCCCTGCCTCACGTCGAGAAGCATCCCTTTGCCTGCCAAGCCTCGAAGAGATTACTGAGGTGTCTCTCGTTACTAGACAGGAGTCCTGACGTCACTGAATAAACACGTTTTTTGAAGGGCCATCCCCGCCGTAACTCGAGAATATACCCCAGGACCCGCCGCAACTCGAGTAAAACCATGAGACTTCCCCTAGATGCGAGATGAGGCCTGATTCCCTGCAGTCCATGCAGAGCATTCCCATGATCCCCATCAAGCAAGTCAGGAGCTTCGACTTGCTTAATCGAACTCGAGAAAGTCCCTAGGAACACTGTCACAAGTCTAGACAGACCCTGAGGTCACCCCAGCAATGTAAAGCAGCTCCAAGTAACCCACATCAACCCGCGATGAGGCCCGATTCCCCTGCATTGATTCCAGAGCCATCCCCCGTACCACATTAAACACCAAAAGTGGTTTGACTTCCTTCAGGCAACTCCAGAGATGCCCTGAGAACACTGTCCCAAGTCTAGAGGAATACGAACTTCAGCACAGCAACTCGAAGAATGCTCCGTGTACCCCAAATCGTTTCGAGGTGAGAGCTGCTTCCATGGCTTAGGCTCAAGACGTATGCCAACTTTTCAGAAGCACCTCAAGAGGAGGCTTCTCTCAGCAGTAGGTATGTGGGAGGGACCCCGAGTTTGCTGCCTCAAGTGGAATATACACGAGAAGCCCTAACTTGAAAGGAGGACGGATTTCCTTGCAGTGGCTTGAATACAGGCTCGTCTTTCATCTCACAGCATGAAGGGATGTCTGAAGCCCCTGTGGAGACCTTAGAGAAAGCTCTAGGTCCCTGCCTCATTTTGAGGGAATGCCTCACATCCCGTTGTCACCTCGAGAGGCACGCGGAGTTCAGTGCTTCAAAATGTGACGATGCCTGACTCCTCTTGAATATTGATAGGAATCCCAAAATCCATGTGGCTATTGGAAAGGTTCCTTGGGTGCCCTGCCTCACCTCGAGAAGCGTCCCTTGTGCACTGCCAAGCCTCGAAGAGATTCCTGAGCTGCCCCTCGTTACTGGACAGGAGTCCTGACGTCACTGAATAAACACGAGTTTTGAAGGCCATCCCCGTCGTAACCCGATTACATACCCCAGGTCCCCGTCGCAAGTCGAGAAAAACCATGAGATTTTCCCCTATAGGCGAGATGAGGCCCGATTCTCCTGCAGAGCATGCAGAGCAATTCCGTGATCCCCATCAAACAAGTCAGGACCTTCGACTTGCTTAATGGGTCTCGAGACAGTCCACAAGAATACTGTCACATGTCTAGACGGATCCTGAAGTCACCCCATCAACGCAAAGCAGCACAATGTGCCCCAAATCAACTCGGGATAATGGCAGATTCCCCTGCATTGACCCTAGAGCTATCCCCCGTTCCACATTAAACACGACCAGTGGCCTGACTTCCTTCAGGCAACTCCAGAGATGCCCGGAGAACACTGTCCCAAGTCTAGAGGAACACCAACTTCAGCACAGCAACTCGAGGAATGCGCCGTGTACCCCAAATCGTCTCGAGATGAGAGCTGATTCCCTGGCTTAGGTTCACGACGTATGCCAATTTCCAGAAGCACCTCAAGCGGAGGATTCTCTCAGCAATAGGTATGTTGGAGGGACCTCCACTTTGCTGCCTCAAGTGGAATATACAGCGAGAAGCCCTACCTTGAAAGGAGGCCGGATTTACTTGCAGTGTCTTGAATACAGGCTCGTCTTTCATCTCACAACAGGAAGGGATGTCTGAATCCCCTGTGGAGACCTTAGAGAAAGCCCTAGGTCCCTGCCTCATTTTGACGGAATGCCTCACTTCCCGTTGACACCTCGAGAGGCACACGGAGTTCACTGCTTCAAAATGTGACGATGCCTGTCTCCTCCTGAACATTGATAGGAATCCCAAAATCACTGTGGCTACAGGAAAGGGTTCTTGTGTGCCCTGCCTCACCTCGAGAAGCATCCCTTTTGCCCTGCCAAGCCTCGAAGAGATTCCTGATGTGTCCCTCGTTACTAGACAGGAGAACTGACGTCACTGAATAAACACGTGTTTTGAAGGGCCATCCCGGCAATAACTCAAGAAAATATCCCAGGTCCCGCCGCAACTCGAGAAAAACCATGAGACTTCCCCTAGACGCGAGATGACGTCTGATTCCCTGCAGTCCATGCAGAGCAGTCCCGTGATCCCCATCAAGCAAGTCAGGAGCTTCGACTTGCTTAATGGATCTCCAGAGAGTCCCCAGGAACACTGTCACAAGTCTAGACAGACCCTGAGGTCACCCCAGCAATGCAAAGCAGCTCCAAGTGCCCCACATCAACTCGAGATGAGGCCCGATTCTCCGGTATTGACTCAAGAGCCATCCCCCGTACCCCATTAAACACCAACACTGGCTTGACTTCATTCATTCAACTCCAGAGATGCCCCAAGAACACTGTTCCAAGTCTAGAGGAACACCAACTTCAGCACAGCAATTCGAGGAATGCTCCGTGCACCCCAAATCGTTCCGAGGTGAGAGCTGATACCCTGGCTTAGGCTCAAGACGTATAACAACTTTCCAGAAGCACCTCAAGAGCAGGCTTCTCTCAGCAATCGGTATGTGGGAGGGAACCCGAGTTTGCTGCCTCAAGTGGAATATACAGTGAGAAGCCCTAACTTGAAAGGAGGCCGGATTTCCTGGCAGTGTGTTGAATACAGGCTCGTCTTTCATCTCACAGCATGAAGGGGTGTCTGAATCCCCTGTGAAGACCTTTGAGAAAGCCCTAGGTCCCTGCCTCATTGTGACGGAATGCCTCACATCCCGTTGACACCACAAGAGGCACGCGGAGTTCACTGCCTCAAAAGGTGACGATGCCTGACTCCTCTTGAATATTGATAGGAATCCCAAAATCCCTGTGGCTATTGGAAAGGTTCCTTGGGTGCCCTGCCTCATCTCGAGAAGCGTCCCTTGTGCCCCGGCAAGCCTCGAAGAGATTCCTGAGCTGTCCCTCGTTACTGGACAGGAGTCCTGACGTCACTGAATAAACACGTGTTTTGAAGGGCCATCGCCGCCGTAACTCGAGTACATACCCCAGGTCCCCGCCGCAACTCGAGAAAAATCATGAGACTTCCGCCTAGAGGCGAGATGAGGCCCGATTCTCCTGCAGTGCATGCAGAGCAATTCCGTGATCCCCATCAAACAAGTCAGGAGATTCGACTTGATTAATGAATCTCGAGACATTCCCCAAGAACACTGTCACATGTCTAGACTGACCCTGAGGTATCCCCAGCAACGCAAAGCAGCTCCATGTGCCCCAAATCAACTTGAGATGAGGTCCGATTCCCCTGCATTGACTCCAGAGCCATCTGCCATTCCGCATTAAACACCACCAGTGGCTTGACTTCCTTCAGACAACTCCAGAGATGCCCTGAGAACACTGTCCCAAGTCTAGAGGAACACCGTCTTCAGCACAGCAACTCGAGGAATGCTCCGTGTACCCCAAATCGTCTCGAGATGAGAGCTGATTCCCTGGCTTATGCTAAAGACGTATGCCAACTTTCCAGAAGCACCTCAAGGGGAGGCTTCGCTCAGCAATAGTTATGTTGGAGGGACCCCCAGTTTGCTGCCTCAAGTGGAATATGCAACGAGAAGCCCTAACTTGAAAGGAGGCCGGGTTTCCTTGCAGTGTCTTGAATACAGGCTCGTCTTTCATCTCACAACCGGAAGGATTGTCTGAATCCCCTGTGGAGACCTTAGCGAAAGCCCTAGGTCCCTGCCTCATTTTGACGGATTGCCTCACATCCCGTTGACACCTCGGGAGGCACACGGAGCTCACTGCTTCAAATGTGACGATGCCTGACCCCTCCTGATCATTGATAGGAATCCCAAAATCACTGTGGCTACAGGAAAGGATTCTTGTGTGCCCTGCCTCACCTCGAGAAGCATCCCTTTGCCCTGCCAAGGCTCGAAGAGATTCCTGAGGTGTCCCTCATTACTACACAGGAGTCATTACGTCACTGAATAAACACGTGTTTTCAAGGGCCATGCCCGCCATAACTCGAGAACATACCCCAGGTCCAGCCACAACTCGAGAATAAAGATGAGACTTCCCCTAGATGCGAGATGAGGCCTGATTCCCTGCAGTCCATGCAGAGCATTCCCGTGATCCCAATCAAGCAAGTCACCAGCTTCGAATTTCTTAATGGATATCGAGAGAGTCCCCAGGAACACTGTCACAAGTCTAGACAGACCCTGACATCACCCCAGCAACGCAAAGCAGCTCCAAGTACCCCACATCAACTCGCGTTGAGGCCCGATTCCCATGCATTGACTCCAGAGCCATACCCCGTACCCCATTAAACACCACCAGTGGCTTGACTTCCTTCAGGCAACTCGAGAGATGCCCCGAGAACACTGTCCCAAGTCTAGAGGAATACGAACTTCAGCACAGCAACTCGAGGAATGCTCCGTGTACCCCAAATAGTTTCGAGGTTAGAGCTGATTCCATGGCTTAGGCTCAAGACGTATGCCAACTTTCCAGAAGCACCTCAAGAGGAGGCTTCTCTCAGCAATAGGTATTTGGGAAGGACCCCGAGTTTGCTGCCTCAAGTGGAATATACAGCGAGAAGCCCTAACTTGAAAGGAGGCCGGATTTCCTTGCAGTGGCTTGGATACAGGCTC